CTGTGCGGCCCTGCTTCCGTCCCCTCTCCCCTCTGGGCCTGGGTCTCCCTGTCGGCAGAGAAGGGTAACGATGCCGTCCCCCAGCCCTGCAGCCTGGGTGCGGTGCTGCTTAGAAGGCACGCAGCCCAGTGCCCGTGACCGCGATTGTTTAATGAGGGCACAGAGAGGTGAAATCACTTGTCCAAGGCCCCGCGTGGCGAGGACGCAGCCCTGCTGTGTTTGAGCCAAGGCAACGTGGCTCCAGAGTCCCCAGGGCTCCCTGGTCCCACGGCTGCCATTGCCCTGCTCATGCTGGTATTACTGGTCTTCAGGGGAGAGGACCGGCCTGGTCCTTGGTGGTGGGAAAGGTGCGGGGGTGACAGGTGGGAAGGAGCAGTCTCTGGCTCCTCTGGGCCTCCAAGCCCCCTGGCCACTGCTCTCACTGCAGCCCGCTCTGGCTGCGGGGCAGCCCCGGGAGTCCTTTTGTCAAAAAGCCACACACCCTGGGGCCTCAGTGTGGTCCCATTTCTGGGAATCCCTCACCTCTTGCCTAACCGTTCCCACTCGTGACGGAGTTCTCCCTTAGCAACTTCTTCTTCCCTTCTCGGGGACTTCACTCTGAGCCGGGGGCACATCCGGCCGACAGGGTGGGAATGGGACCATTTCACTGCTGCGCCAGCCGGGGTCTGGGGGCCCAGGGTGCCTGCCCAGGGAGGAGTGCCGGGAGAAGGTCTCCCCTGGCCCCAAGCCCGGGCGCATCCGGGGGTGCAGCCAGACCCAGGTCCCTTTGATGGACATGCCAGTGGAGCCTGGCTCTCCACCAGAGGAGCTGGCTCTGGCCTTGGCAATGGGACTGCTCTCCCAGATGCTCTTCCTCAGGGCTGTGGCCTCCTCTCCCCTCCGTGCCTCATGTCCTCTCCCGATGGGAGACCATGGCGGGAAGAAGAGCCAGACCCTATAGAACGGCAGAGAAGCTGGAAGGGGCTGTCTGGTCCTCTCCTGGGTGACAAGTCCTGCCTCTCCTGTCATGTCGCCTACCTGTGTCACACTCTTTAACATCTTTGGGTCCCATCTGTGCCATTCAACTATATCATTACTCTCGGTGGATAACTAGTCTCACCTGCCATGAAGACAAAAACAAATATTATTGAAACAATGAGGTCAGCTCCCTGAGGGCAATGGTTTGTGATTTATTGCTGTATTCCCAGCACCCAGAAAAGTACCTGGCACATCACAGGTACTCAAAATATATTTTTTTGAGTGAGGGGTCAGTGAATGAACAAATGAGGAAAGGAAAGAGTGATGTGGATATGGATGCTTGGGGAAGGCGCTAATAAAAAAGCCACACCGGGGCGCCTGGGTGGCTCAGTTGGTTAAGCGTTCTTGGTTTCGGCTCAGGTCAGGACCTCAGGAGTGTGAGATCGAGCCCCGCGTCAGGCTCCACACCCAGTGTGGAGTCTGCTTGTCCCTCTCCCCCTCTGTTCCTCTCCCCATTCTTTCTCAAATAAATAAAATCTTAAAAAAAAAAAAAAAAAAAAAAAGCCTTGCCAGCTCCAAGCAGAGACTTTCTTCTTGACAGACTCACTGTGTGGAGGAGCGCTTCCCCAGCGGGCTGCCTGCCGGTGCTCCTGCCCCCAGGTACCTGTGACAGTGTGACCCACGTGTGTCTCCCCTTCTGCCACGGGAGGACCCTCTTCTGAGTTGGCCTTTCTGAGGGCTGGACGCCCAGGGTGAATGTCCACTCTGCCCCATCCTCCCCACCGTGCTGGACAGGGCCGTCTTCGAAGAGCGTGGAGTCTCTGTCCCCGCCTGGCAGGAGCCTGTGGGGGTGTCCGCCGCGCCTCCTAGGCAGAGGCCTCGCACAGGAAACCTGACGTCATCCTGACTCACTGCTCAGATGAGGCTGGGGGTGGCCACAGTTCGTCACTCTCACCTTCGTCCCTACCTGGCACAAGGATGCTGGCCACACCATTCATTTCTTCCTTGCCCCCTGGGCTTGGGGTGTAGGTTTGGAAGGAGGAGGAAGGCCCACATCAGTATAGAGCTTGGCGCTTCATGACTGTGGAAGAGAAACCACTTTGCATGGGGGCTGGGGAGCTGCGCTGGTGGGGGCGGGGGAAGCCCGGAATCCCAACGGCAGGAGGTGAATGACGCTTCACTGTCAAAACGGGTGGTTACAAATAGTACAGCACCCTTTATTCCAGTTTGGTATTTTCACTAAAAAAAGAAAAAATAACTGAAGCTGGGCCCCAAACTGACTCAGTGTCTGCTCTGTAACAGCCAGGCCAGGAACACAAAATAACCCAAAGCCTCCGTGTCTGGCACCCCCCTGCTGCCATCTCTGACAGTCTAGTGATGAGGGATGGGGTCATCCCTCCAGATCCTTCAGCCCGTGGGACATCCAGTCTAACCGAGACCCCTCCTCACACCGTCTCCACCTGTGTGCCCAGAGCCCTGCCTCGGCTCTGCAGCGGGAATGGTGTCCCTTCAGGGGGTGGCAAAGGAGGGAAGACATCCGGCGCTGTGACTCACCAGAGGTCTGGGGATCTTTAGTCAGAGCAGGAGTGGGGGTGGGACGTGGGTTTGCCTTCTCCCTCTCTTGTTACCCTGGCCTTGGGCTTACACACAGTTATTGGGGGTGGGGGCTACCCCAGTTCGGGAAGAGGGGAAGGAGGCAAAAGGGAAGCCCTGCTTTCATGGCTAAGTCAGGCCTCCTTAAGTCTGTGTTCCAGAGCCGCAAAAGGGACAGACCCGAAGGAGGTGGCATTGAGGGGGTGATATACCTGCAGCCACCTCAGGCCGAGCGCTGGGCAGGGCCCCTGGGCCTGCCACTAGAGCAAAGCTTTCACAGTGCACTCCCACTCCCGAGTGGGACTTCCCAGCAGGGTGCAGGCCGCTTTCCCCAAGAAGGAAGAGAGTCTAAGCCCAGCGTGGGAGTCCAGGGTCTGCAGCCCCTGCCATTGAGCTAGTTTTCACTCCTGAGCCAGGATCTCAGCTGGCCAGTTCTCTCTTCTCCTCCCCGAGGAGCTGGGAGGCTATGGCTCCTAGCAGGGCAGGTGACGCCAGCCCCACGGGTTAGCAAGACTGGACCTGACTATTCCTTTGCATGCTCTGTAATTTGCCCCTGGAATCAGCCATTAAGTCATTTGCCAGGCTGATGCCAAGGATAAGGGCCGCATATCAGCCTCTGGGATCTGTGGCCCAGACTCCCCGGCTCTGCTGTGGGCTTTGCCACATCAGCTTCCCGACTGGCCCGTAGGGAGGGACAGGACACTGCAGGTGCCCAGACAGTGGTGTGGCCTCAGCCTTGGAACCAGTGTGGGTGAACAGCTGGTCTATTATGAACTCCCATCTTACAGATAGGAACACTGAGGCATGAGAGAGTGACTTGGCCCCAGGAATCTTTGGAGTCCTTTCGGCCCCCCCGCCCCGGGGCCCCCTCTTCCTCACAAGCGCACATGAGCTACAAACTGTCTCAAACCCTGTCCAACTGCATTCAGATCCTGCTCCAACATACACGGACACATCAACACACCTTTTGGAGGAGTTTAGAGTTTATAAACCAAGTGGGGAGCTTGGGGGGTCAACATGGGTCCTATCTGCAGCCCTCCAAGACCCTATGGACATAGGGGACGGCAAGGGAGCTGGAAGGATCTTACAGAGGGCACTGAGTAGTGATGCAGGGCAATGGGAGCTTAGGGGCTTGGGTTCTGAAATCCCACGCAGCTAGCGGTGGGGATGAGGGCAGCTCCAGGATGCTCTTCCATCCACCTGAACATCTCTGCTTTGGAGTTCAGCTGTCAGTATCTCTTGCCCCCAACCCAGGGGCCCTGCTCCTCCCCACCAGACACACCTGGGCCTCACCACATCCGGTCCCTGGGCTGGCAGCTGGGGTGGGGGTGGACAGAAGGGATGGAGATGACCCAGCTTCCCATTATCAGTGCTCATTGCCTTGCTCAGGTGCCAGTCCGAGGTCCCTGCTGGCCAGGGGGCCTGCTACGGCCCAGGGAGGGCTGAGAAGGGACACGGTAAAGGGGTGGAAGAGGCAGATTCTGGTAGTTCTTCTCCTTCTTCCCCTTGGTGAGGCTCCTTGAAATTCCCACAAGGCCCCAGGGAGAGCCCAGCAACGTCAGCAGAGTTCCCCTCCCGAGCTGGCCTGTGACTTGGGGAAGTGCTTCACCCTGGGCCTCTGGGGTTTCCCTGGGCCCAGGGGAAGCCTTGCCCCACTCTTAACTGGAAACTTATCATCAGCCCCCTGCCTTTCCCCTGGAAGGCCCAGGGGGTCCTTCTCATGCCAATGTCCAGGGTCTTGGGCCCAGAGGATAATGGTCTGGACTAGCTTGGCCACTAACCTACTTCAAGACTCAAAGTGCTGGTCTCAGCCATGCAATGCGGGAGGGGAGGGGAGGAGAAATTCAAGTTCCTCCTGGGCAAGGTTTCTAAGTAGAAAAAGAACATCTCAGCATGGCTCCCCATTCCCCGGTGTAGAAATCATGGCCATGTCAATTTTTGTTTGCAACAAATTCCTAGAGGGAAAATCCTGGAACAGAAAGGGAGAAGGGAGAGGAAGCGTGGCAAGGGGCACCACTGGCCCCGAAGTCTCTGGGCATGGGCATGTGCATCCGAGACACAACTTCCCAAGGACTGAGCGGCGTGGAGCAGGTCAAAGGGTGGGAGCGTTCTTCCGGGCCAGGGCGCAAAGATGTGGGGGTGGTGGCACCGGGGCCCCACTGACCCTGGCAAACCCTTTCCCTCAAGAGCTAGTCTCCGCTTCCTCCCCCGGCGCCCCCTCCCCCCTCAGTCCACCCCGTTCCGGGGCCGGCCCAGCTCGCACCCCTGAAGGCCGCGGGGGCGGGCGCCGGCGCCTTCCTGCGCTGCCCTTGTATGGTGACCCGGGAGGCGGCCCCCGGGTACTTAAGCCGCGGCGCCGCCCAAGGCGCCCAGAACACTCGTTTTGGGCAGCGCGGCCGCAGCGAGAGCCGGGAGCGCGCGGTGGAGGGGGGGGGGCGGGGGACGAAGAAGCGCAGTGAGAGGGGCCGCAGGAGCCTGGGCAGGAGCTATGGGGCTGGAGGCGGCGCGCGAGCTGGACTGCGCGGCGCTGGGCGCGCTGCTGCGGGAGCCGCGGGAGGCCGAGCGCACACTGCTGCTCGACTGCCGCCCCTTCCTGGCCTTCTGCCGGCGCCACGTGCGCCACGCGCGGCCAGTGCCCTGGAACGCGCTGCTGCGGCGCCGCGCGCGCGGCCCGCCCGCCGCCGCCCTCGCCTACCTGCTGCCCGACCGCGCGCTCCGGGCGCGCCTGGCCCGCGGGGAGCTGGCCCGGGCCGTGGTGCTGGACGAGGGCAGCGCCTCGGTGGCCGAGCTCCCCCCCGACGGCCCGGCACACGCGCTGCTCGCCGCGCTGCTGCCCGAAACCCGCGCGGGGCCCACGGCCGTGTGCTTCCTGCGAGGTGAGCGCCGCCCGCGCCGGTCCCCCCCACCACCCCGCCGACCCCCGGCGTTCCCCCCCACCCCCCCCCCCTTCCGTCCCCGCCGGGCCTCTCCCCGCTAACCGCCCCTCGCCCTCCCTGCAGGCGGCTTCGATGGCTTCCAGGCCTGCTGTCCCGATCTGTGCTCCGAGTCCCCCGCCCCGGCCATGTCGTCTGCTGGGGGCGAGAACAGCCGCTCTGACCCCAGGGCTCCCTTCTACGACCAGGTGAGCTGAGATCCGAGCTCCTTTCACTGTTCGCGCCCCCCCCCGCCCCAGTGCCCCGCATTTGCGGGATAGGCACCTCTGGGGAAGGGGGCTGCCACTTGTGGATTCGAGGAGTCTCTCCATGTTCGCACTCACGTGTGTGTGTGTGTGTGTGTGTGTGTGTGTGTGTGTGTGTGTGTCCCCGCAGCAAACGGGAGCACATCTTTGTGTGTCTGGTGCGGGCTGCTCCTGAGGGCTCTGTCAATGTGTGCCTGCAGCGTATTTGGGGCTTTGACGGGGAGGTGTGTATTTGTGAGCGAGTATCTCTGTGTGTCCCCTTGTGTCCTCCTATTCCCGAGCGTGATCCTGGTCAGGGCAGCCTGAGGGCTCCTCTTGCTGGGGCCAGCTGGGATGGCCCTCAGGGGTGCTCAGGCCCTCCCGCGGCGCTGACAAAACCCCCTCCTCATTCCGCCGTTTCCCCCCCATGCAGGGCGGCCCTGTGGAGATCTTGCCCTACCTGTTCCTGGGCAGCTGCAGCCACTCCTCCGACCTGCGGGGGCTGCAGGCTTGTGGCATCACGGCGGTCCTCAACGTCTCCCGCTGCCCCAACCACTTTGAGAGCCTTTTCCGCTACAAGAGCATCCCGGTGGAGGACAACCAGATGGTGGAGATCAGTGCCTGGTTCCAGGAGGCCATAAGCTTCATTGGTAAGAGGGGGGCCTCAGCCCAGGGAGCCGAAGGGACATCTGGGTGAGGGGCCTGGGGCGCTTATCACCTCTCCTGCCTCCCTTCGTGCCTGATCCCCCCTTTCCCCATCTCCCTTACAGACTCGGTGAAGAACAGTGGAGGCCGGGTACTGGTTCACTGCCAGGCGGGCATCTCGCGCTCTGCAACCATCTGCCTGGCTTACCTGATACAGAGCCGCCGCGTGAGGCTGGACGAGGCCTTCGACTTTGTTAAGCAACGCCGGGGAGTCATCTCCCCCAACTTCAGTTTCATGGGGCAGCTGCTACAGTTTGAGACTCAGGTGCTGTGTCACTGAGGCAGGACCCCACCAGGCTGCCCCCCCCCCAGGGGGGGGCACTGATTCTCTCCAGGTCAGGGAAAGCTGCCCCTTCTCCGAAGTTTGAAAAGCCCCCAGGTGGTGGTGCTGGGAGTGCAGGAATTCTGGACTTTCTCACCTGGTGCTCTTCTGCGAGGTTTGAGGGCTGGCCCTCTTCTGGGGACCAGCATGGAGGGCATGTCTGCTCCCCCTCCCCCCTCTGTCTTCTGGCAGAAACTAACTGGACCTCTACACCCATGGATTCCCACGGGTCCCACCACCATGTTGAAGCCCTTGGCAGCCTGAGCGCTCCAAGGAACAAGCTGTGACAACTGGGAGCCCCGTCTGGGGGGTGGTCCACTACAGGCCTGGAGCCTGCGCCTTGTGCTCCCCACTCCTGGGGAGCTGGGCGGCCCGGAAGCGCCGCGTCTGTTGCGTGCAGGCCTCTTGCTCGCGTGCGTGCACGTGCATATATGTGTGAGCATGTCACGCCCGTATCGGTGCTGGAAAGTTTTTTGTGTTCAGCTGACATTTAACACTCCCTCCCCCACTTCCTCCCAGCCCTGTGGGCGGGGGTTGGAAACTTAGCACTTTATATTTATACGGAACATTGAGGATGTGTCAATAAAATATTGTTTTGTTTAAAAAGCAACGCCTCAAGGGTCTGGTCTCAAGTCAGTGCCTGGGAAAATGCTCAAAAGCCGTTTCCTCATCAGACCTCCCCTTTCCTTGGGCGGCAGTGCCTGAGGTGTGGAAGGAAGAAGGTGCTGGTGTGAGCTCCCCCATAGGAGGGGCCCTCCCGGCCCAGGTCGCCCTGTGTTGGTGTCCTAGCCCAGGCAGCGTTCTGTCTCCAGAGCTGAAAGAGGTGGTTTTTGGGAGGCTGTCTCCAAACCTTATTCCTATTACTGGCTTTGGGCCCTGTGGGGAGAAGCCTATGTCCGTGGCTTAGACCCCACTTCCTTTTTGGAACATGGATGGATATGTATGTGTGTGCACCTAGGTACGTGGCTGTTCCCACGGGTGTGGGTGTGTGGTGTTCTCAGCTTGCACACACCTGCATGTCACGCGTTCCTGAAGGTATCTGTGTGTGCCCATGTGTGTGTGTGGCTCTTCCAGTGGCTGTGTGTGCATGTGCTAGGCCAGGCCTCCTTTGCCCCACAGTAGGGCAACACAGCCTCTCCCCTCTCCTCTCGCATCCCCAGGCAGGGCCTCCAGGCCTCGAACGCCCGTTTGTGCTGGGGCTCATGGCAGCCTCTGTTCCAGAGTTCCTTCTTGTCCCCAGAAGCCATGTGGCCTCGTGTCTGGTGCAGAGAACACGTCACCAGGGATGGGCTTAGTTGCTCTTTACACCCACCCACCTAGCATGTCTTGATTGAATATTGGTTACTTGCCTGGCACGGGACTCTGCCGTCCGGGGAGGCATGAGTCACGGGCCCAGCCGCAGCCAGAAGTGGAGGGGTGCATGCAGAGGCTGCCGGAAACAGGTGCTGTGATTTGCCTGGGAGCAGGGGTGCGGAGGCCCTTGAGGTCAGCTCTTGGACAGCTACCCCCCCCCCCCCCCCGCTTCATTCAGCCTATGCTCCTGGCCACTCGGAGCGTCGCCTGGCTAACTCTTCGTCCTTCCAAACTCAGCTCAAGGGTCCCCCCTGCAGAATGCTGGCTCTTCCTGGTGTCTGGCAGGGTACGCCTGAGGGGTGGAGTTTGATGGCTAGGAGGCCAGTTTTGCTCCCTGCATTTCAGTTCCCTTGTCTGTAAAATGGGGTTTTGTCACTAGGCCCTGCCACTTAGCATGGTATGGAGAATGGCACAAGTCAATCCATTTAAGAGGCTTAGCCCAGCACCTACACGTAGTAGATGCTCAGGAAATGCTAGCTACTGATGGCCTGTGAGGAGAAGGTTCTCAGGTGTGTAGCTGTGCATCTGAATCATGCTCATGAGGGCAGGGCCTGTGGTCTGCTCTGCCGTCGGTGCCGGGAATCTGGCACACCAACAGGCCTGGTGAAGATCAAGCAGCCTGCCACCCGTGCCTTGTTCGCTCTGCTGTCTGGGGCTGGGTGAGGTGCTCCCTGGTCGGAACTGAGCAGAGCTGGGCTTGCGATCAAGGCTTTCTTAGGCTCTGAGTGGGCTTCCGTTTGGACCTGCCAACAACACTTAGCTTGGGGTAGGAGTGGAGGGCAGCTGGGGCTCTGAGTCATGCGGGCCTTCCCAGCACACAGTCCTACCTCACAAACAGCAGGACTGGTGGCTGAGGCCCCTGCCCACCCCACCCTCAGCCCTACCCCATCCCTTCCACCCACCCTCCCTGTCCAGCTTCCCCTACCTGTGTTTTTAAGTTTGTTTCTTTTTTTTTGAGAGAGTATGCAAGTGGGGGGAGGGGCAGAAGGAGAGAGAGAATCTCAAGCAGAGCCCACGTGCAGCCCCACGCCAGGCTCACTCTCACCACCCCGAGATCATAACCTGAGCTGAAATAGAGTCCGTTGCTTAACCAACTGAGCCACCCAGGTGCCCCTTTCTGTCTCTCTCCTTCCTTCTTATTTCTTTAAAAATTTTAAATTGTGGGGCGCCTGGGTGACTCAGTTGGTTGAGGAGCCCGCTCTTGATTTTGACTCAAGTCATGATCTCAGGGTCCCGGGATGAGCCCTGAGTTGGGCTCCGTGCTCAGCAGGGGATCTGCTTGAGGATTCTCTCTCTGCGCCCCTCCCCACCCCCACCCCTATTCACGCTGTCTCTCTCTAAAATAAATAAATCTTTTAAATAAATTTAAATCATGGTTAAAAATATACAGCAAGTCCCTTCTTGTCCGAGGTTTTGCTTTCTGTGGTTTTAGTTGCCCGTGGTCAGCTGCTGTCTGGAAGCAGACGATCCTCCTTCTGACATATCGCCGGAACGTCAATAGTAGCCTAACGCTCTGTCGCGGTGCTGACATCAAGTGCCCCGCTTCATCTCATCACGTAGGCATTTTATCTCGCATCCTCACAAGAAGGGCAAGTTCAGTGCAATAAGGTATTTTGAGAGAGAGAGAGACCCTATTCACATAACTTTAATTATGGCATTTGTTAGTTGTTAATCTCTTACTGTGCCTAATTTGTAAATTAAATGTTCTCATAGATATGTATGTATAGGAAAAAATAGGGTTTGGTATCCACCACAGTTTCAGGCATCCACTGGGGCTCCTGGGATGTATTCCCTGTGGATAAAGGGGGACTACTGTATAACATAAAATTTACCATCTTTACTATTTTTTTTTAAGTAGGGTCCACACCCAGCATGCAGCCCAACACAGGGCTTGAACTCACGACCCTGAGATCAAGACCTGAGCTAAGACCATGAGTCGGACACTGAACTGACTGAGCCACCCAGGTGCCCTATCATCTTTACTATTTTTAAGTGTGCAGTAATGTTAAGCATATTCAAGATCTCCAGAACTTTTCCATCTCGCAGAACTGCAACTCTGTGCCTGTTAAACAGCACCTCCCTATTCCCCTTTCCTCCAGGCCCTGGCAACCACCATTCTACTTCCTGTCTCTGAATCTGACTGTGTACCTCCTATAAGTGGAATCATACAGTATTTGCCCTGTTGCGAAGGGCTTATTTTGCTTCGCATAATGTCCTCAAGTCAAACTGCATTTCTTTTTTATTTTTTTAAGATTTTATTTATTTATTTGACAGAGAGAGACAAAGCGAGAGAAGGAACACAAACAGGGGGAGTGGGAGAGGGAGAAGCAGGCTTCCCGCGGAGCAGGGAGCCCGATGTGGGGCTCGATCCCAGCACCCTGGGATCATGACCTGAGCCGAAGGCAGATGCTTAACGACCGAGCCACCCAGGCACCCCTCAAACTGCATTTCTTGACTGAGAATCTGTTTCTCTATCCAAGCGGGGTGATTATTAGGATGATTTTAGACAGCTCTCATCAGATGTGGCCAGTTCATGCATGTTTACATACACTAATACCCGGCCTGGGCGGCAGGGGCATCTGTCTGTTCTCCCCGTGGTTCTGACGGGTATCTTTTGAGAAATGTTGGATTCCAGGCATGGCAGGATGCTGAGAAGCACGTGTGGACAGTGGCTGGTGACCTTGCCTCAGCTCTGTCACTTCCCTTCACTGGGCATTGGTGGGGGAGGTCCCCAAATCCTTCACCTCCAGGATTTAAATCCAGGTGGGCCCCCTCGTGACCAAGCTCTGAGAATGGGCCTCTCGAGATGCCCAGGAGCATAGAAGAGGAGGAATATGGGTAAGGAGCTTTAGTTTCTGGATCTGTGAAATGGGGATAAATGCCGATTTTGCAAGGCTGTTGTGGGGATGACAGGGGTAGTGTCCATGCAAGGGTCTAGGTATCCAGAAGCTCCCGCATCTACATGGCAGGCTTCTCTGGGGTGCTGGTTACGCCGGGCGTTCAGTGTGTAAATTTTTCCGGATCCCTGCACTTGTGATTGTCCACTTTCTTCTATGTATACTAAAGTAAACACTTATAAAAATTAGTGACATTTTCCTTCTTCCACAGATAGGCTGGGGGTGCCTCAGGGTCTCGGGCAGCTTTTCCCATGTGTGAGCGCAGGGCGGGGCGTGGCAGGAAAGGGGTCTCCCCCTGTTGGAGAATGAAGTCCCCTGCCCCCCCCACCTTAGCACCCTTCTGTGATGTTTCCCTGCCCCCTGGTGGTGAGAGGGGACCTCAGAAGAGGCACACTCCCCAGTGGTACCCTCCCTCCCTGCAGGGTGCTTTGTGCCTGGCTTCTCACCTTTTCCCGCACTTCAGCCAGGCTGAGAAGGATTTGACCTGGGTCCTGAAGGCTCTGGCCTGGGCTGGGGGGTGGGGGTGGGGAGCACAGGTGGGAGGGGGCAGGGCTGCCGGTGGCGTTGATGGAGGCGGGGCTGCAGGTGGGGTTGGTTGGGGTGGGGCTGCAGGTGGGGGCTGGAGAAGCTGCTATTTAAGGGCTGGGTGGGGGCGGGGATTGGCGTTAGGTCGGCTATTAGGCGGGCTTGTCCTTGCTGGTGTTTGGGCTCCTCCTTGTTGCGGCGCCAGTGGGGTCCCCCTACAGACCACGTGAACATGGGAGGCCTCTGGCCGTGGGTGCTTGGTCTACTCTCTTTGCCAGGTAAGTGGGCTGCCTCGCCCTTCTCTTCTCGAGTTTTGGCTCCAGCCACAGAGTGTGGGTAGAGGCGAGAAGGAGTTCCCCTGGCGTGCCAGGCTTGCCCAGTCTGAGTCCATTTTCCAGAGGTCTGGGCTGAGAAGGGAGGCATGGGGCAGGGTCCAGGCTAGCCCGCACTGCCTTCAGTGTGGGTGTCTGAGGTCTGTCCCCGCCTCTCTTCTCCCTCCCCTACCCCATACCCACAGATACTCAGAGCCCAGTGTTGGTCCCCTTAAAGGAGCACCTTCCTCAAGGTTGTCTAGCTCTTGTCACCAGCTGGGACTGAGGGGAGGCCAGGAGGTCTTCCAGGACTACTTTCTGGAGGCCTGCTTTCTGTGAAGGGCCTGGCTCTGGCTGTCTGACCCCCTACACCCCCACTCCCATGTGCTGCCGTCCTCTCTCACCAATGAGGGCGCTTCGGGCATCATGGGTATGCACCTGTCCGGGCCAGGTTTGATCCTAGGAGCGCCCTCAGCCTGCAACTCCCCAGAAGCCTGTGGAACCAGCTTCTCAGAGGGCCTCAACCCTGAAGAGACCCAGACATCCTGGGACAAGGACATCCCTGCGATTAACCAAGGTGAGGGCATGGTGTCGTCTTGTGGGGTAGAGGGGCTCTGAAAGTGGTCCGTGTGCTGTGGTGAAGACCATGCTGAACATGCAGCCAAGCAGAACAAGCTGGAAATGTGCCAGCTCACTGGGCTCTGGATGAGCAGCAGTTCCTAGTTCTATGGGTAACTTTTTAAAAAGTCTCTATTTCTGTATCTTCTCTACTGGATTGTAAGAGAAAAACATAGGTTTTTAAAAAATGGCCTGATAAAAGTACAGGTCTTTGGGGTGCTCTACCTGGTGTTGAGCGAAGTCATTAGTGGGGGTTTGAGATGGCAGCCGCCTGGGGCAGGATGGTCTGCAGGTGTGAGGGCATGCGCTGGGGGGCAAAGCCAAAGCTGCACGAGACCTCACGCCTCCCTGTCTGGGGATCTCCGCTGAAGAAAGAACATAGAGATAGCCCGGGGTGAAGCTGCTGGGGGGGGGGGAAAGCCTGGATTTTGGGGGTTGGAGCTGAAGTGTTGGGGGAACGGGGTGACTTTGCCTGGGGGGATGAGAACCTCCCGATGACCGCGTGGTCTTCTCTTTCCTGTGAGCCCCCAGCGCGGCTGAGCAGGAGCAGGGCAGTGTGCCACCTTTCGGTGACTGTGACTGGTCCGGAGGGAGCTAGAACCTAGAATCTGAGGCTTCCCCGGGATTGATTTTTTTCAGCTGCCATAGAGGATACTTAGCCAGGGCTGCTGGAGGCCCAATGGCTGAGATGCCCTTTACTGGGAAGGACACGCCATCCCCAGCTGCCGGGAATGTTGGCTGCTAAGGCCTCACAGCTGAAGGCCCTTGGCCAGGGATGCCTGGGAAGCTACTCCCTCCTCTGCCCAGGGCAGCCCACAGTGACTCATAGGGGCCATGGGGCAGCCCCCCTGCCTCAGTGTGGGACAAGTGTGTGGTGCCGTTTGGGGTCCAGAGCTCCTGTGGGATCAGGCTGAGGCTGCACTGCAACAGAGCCTGGGTCTTCCCCAGCGCCCCCTCAATAAATCACTTGCAGGTGCCTCCCCAGCTCAGGCTCTGCATCTAGGGAACCCAACCTAACGTGCCTCAGGGCCAGACCCTCTTCCAGGACTCCTCGTAGGGCTGACCTCTTAGTAAGGAGGCTGGGGAGAAGGGCTGCCTGCTGTGGCAGAAACCGAGGCTGGAGAGAGAAGCAGAGACAGGCTGATGTGGGGAGAGAGCCAGGCTCAAGGAGCCAGACACCTTCCTTCTATGGTGGTGTGAGCTGGAATTGGTCACTTGTCACTGCGAGGGCCCTGACCATCACACAGATGGGTAGGAATTAGATGGGGGATGAGGAAGGACAGGAGAGCCCAGGGCATGTTGGAGTATGGCCTGGGTAGCTTCCCAGGCATCCCTGGCCAAGGGCCTTCAGCTGTGAGGCCTCAGCCAACATTCCTGGCAGCTGGGGATGGTGTGTCCTTCCCAGTAAAGGGCATCTCAGATAGCTGTTGGGCCTCCAGCAGCCCTGGCTAAGTATCCTCTATGGCAGCTGAAAAGAAATCAATCCTGGGGAAGCCTCAGATTGGTTCTAGCTCCCTCCGGACCAGTCACAGTCACCGAAACGTGGCACACTGCCCTGCTCCCACTCAGCTGTGCTGGGGCTCACAGGAAAGAGTGTGGCCTGGGTTGGAGAGGGGGATGATATAGGGGACAGCTGAAGAAATGGCTGCCCCTGATTAGCAGAGAGGGAGGAGTTGGGCCTGGATTTGCGTGGGCTGGGGGAGCCATGGACTGTTTTCTAACAAGGGAGAGATGTGATTGGGCTGAGATCCATCATGCATGTTTGTAGACTAGAGACTCAGAGGGACTGTGTGACTTGCCTGAGGTCACACAGCCTCAGGGCCCAGGGAAGCTCCACCTTCAGAGTCAGGAAGGCCAGACTCTGGGGTGGCTGCTGGGCCTGTCCCTAGAGTCTGGACTCTGGGTGGAGGGAGGGCATGGGCTCACCCACATCCCTCCCTTCTTCCCAGGGCTCATCCCAGAGGAAACCCCGGAGAGCAGCTTCCTACTGGAGGGGGATATCCTTCGGCCAGTGAGTGTGAGCATGTACACACATGGGTGTAAATAACTTCCCAGATAGCGTTAGAGGCCTTTGAGCCCAGCCTCCGGTGTCATGGGGACGTGATACGTGAGGGATCCAAAATCTGTTGCTCGTAGCTTGATAAATACCCTTTCTGGCTAAAGTCACAGTGAATGCTCTAGTAGGAATCAGCCAGACTGAATGGGAGGGAGGGTAACATCTGCGGTGGTAACAGCAGTCAGCCTGGGAGGGCTTCCTGAAGGAGGGGGTTTGAGCCTTCAAGGTCCAGCTTGGTGCTCTGCCCAGGGCAGGTGCTCAGAAAGTACTGGAATGGAGGAAGAGATGAGCACAGAGTGGCAGAGGCGCCGGTGGGGCTGTAGGGAGGTGGTGGTGGGGCACCCCAGGGGTGGTAGTCATGGTCTGGGACCCCATCCTGGTAGGGAGGGTGGAGTCAGAAAGGGAGAAGGCTGGGTGGGAGCTGGGGTGACTTGCCAGGGAGATGAGGACGCTCGGTGTTCAGGAGAACAAGGCTATCTTCTTAGGGACCGGGTGGTAGAGGTGTCCTCCTGAACAGGACAGTGACCTGGTGCGAGCAGGACGGTTTTGCTGGTTGGAGACCGCCCACTGTTGGCTCAGCACGAGGCTGGGCTGCAGAGCCAAAGGCTGGGGCTGGTGGGTGGGGCAAGGCCCCTGTTCCTGGTCACCCGGTGAGGGCAGGGGGGAAGCACGAATCCAGTAAAACCTGTGGTAGCCAGTGGGGCAGGACCGGCCAGGGTGCCAGGGAGCCTATGCCTCGCAGGGTTTTGGTTGGCACAAGAGTGGAAAAAGGAGTTGCTAAGGCCAGGGAAGTTGCCTTAACATCAGCCTGAGAAGGACCCTGCCTCATCTTTCCGTGGCCGTTCAGGGATGCTCGGCTGACTGCTGGGTTTCAGGAAGGACGGGGCTGTGGCTGGAGCTCAGCCTTTCTCAACTGGGCCACCCTGGGGAGCTGGCACTCCTAGTCAGCCTCCTCAGGAACAAGTGCCGGGTTTTGTTCTGCGTGACGGAATAGGTTACAGTTCTGTAGGACAAAGGGTCGTGTTGTATATTGTAACTCACCAGCAGGCCCCCGGCTGTCCCACCCCTCTGTCCCCACCCTCCTATGCCTGCATCCTGCTTCTCCCGTCTTTCGGGTTCTTGGGGCCTGAGACACGGCGCCTCCGGGGGCAAGAAGCTTGGCTGACCTGTGTCCCCCGCGGTCCCAGAACTGCCCTCTCTCTTCAGAGTCCCTTCCGGCTGTTCTCGGCAAGCAGCAACAGGTGGCCTAAGAACGGGGGGTTTGTGGAGGTCCCCTTCCTGCTCTCTAGCAAGTACGGTGAGTGAGCATGTGCGCTCTGTCCTGGGAGCTGTGGCCTCAGCCTCTTACACTCTGTGTAGCCTGGGCTCTGCTGGGGTTCTTCCCTCTGCCTCTACTCACCGTCACCACCAAAGAACCCTTCCCCGAGAAGCCTTTATTCCTGAGGGCCTCGGGAGCCGGGAGGGCTAAAAGCCCGGCAGAGTGGATAGGGGTACATAGAAGGACTATCTGCTCCATTTCAAGGCCGACTGGCCCAGAGGACAGGCACCTGCCCGAGGTTGCATAGCCAGGGCCTGTCTGGGACCCAGCTTCCCCCCCACTCCCCCCCGCGACACTCAGGCTGCCCTTCCTTGACCTTTCCATTTTGGAAGAGTGCTTGGAAGCTCTGTTCCCACCCTGCATGCAGACTTGCGAGGGGTCACAAGGGCTCTGGGGTCTCCGCTGGAGGTTCAGCCACGGTGTCGCCTCCCCCAGATGAACGCAGCCGCGAGGTTCTCCTGAAGGCATTTGCCGAATTTGAGCGCCTCACGTGCATCAGGTTCGTCGCCTACCAGGGCCAGAGAGACTTCATTTCCATCATTCCCATGTCTGGGTACGTGCTTCTGGGGGTGCCCGTGTGTCCATGGGGAGGGGGTGGGTTCCTTCGCGTTCTTTGAAGTTCAGCTAGGACTTACCCAAGCCCTCGTCTGAAACCTGTCTCTAGGCCTGACTTCCGGGGTCCAAAGCCACCCTGCCCACTGAGTGGTTTGCTGGGTGGGAGCTGGACCTACAGATACTCGGGGTGGAAGGTGGAGAAGGAGGTGCTTGACCCTCCTCACAAAACCCTGCTCTGCGGAGACTTCATGGTCTGGGGAACGGGTACGGCGTCTGTGGGGCCCACCTGGCCTCCGATCCGGGTTCCACAGTGTAGGAACCCCTGACACCGGGCAAGAGCCTCTGAAGTGGGGATGCTGGAGGCACACACTTCCTAGCTTGCTGGGTACCGAGGATCATGTGTGAAAGCGTTGACTCGGGGACCCCTGCATGGGGACGTTCACTCCACGAGCTGCTTCCATTATCGGTGCTCCTCTCCATCCCTCCGTCCTCCTTGTACCCCAGGCTGGGAATGGGAATTCAGTATACCCGTTTCACAGATGGCCAGGCAGTGAATGGCCTTGGGAACAGCAAGCCTGGGACTAGAATCTGGGATGGGGACTACCTGTTGGTGCTCATTCATCCCAGGACTTGGGAGAGGAAGCGGCAGGGGGCCTGGGTCTGCTCTGGATCTCTGGACTTGGTACCTACCCAGTGCTCTCTCCTGGCCCGCAGATGTTTCTCCAGTGTGGGACGCAGTGGAGGGATGCAGGTGGTGTCCCTGGCACCTCCCTGTCTCCGGAAAGGCCCAGGCATTGTCCTACATGAGCTCATGCATGTGCTGGGGTTCTGGCATGAGCACTCACGGGCTGATCGGGATCGCTATATTCGTATCCACTGGAATGAGGTCCTCCCAGGTAAGCCAAGTCTCGCACAGCACGGGCCAGGCCTGGGGGGGGCCCTGGCATGAGAGGCCAATGGCCAGGGCCTGAGTTGCCTGCCATTTAGAAGAGCTTATCCATCTTCCCCACCATCTGCCTGTCTACCGTGGGGAAGGTGGGGTTCCTGGTTCTCTTTGAGACTGGGAGGTGGTCCGGATACTACCGCTCTGGGCTCCCAGCCTTCCATCTGCTCGCCCATAGTCCTGCCTGAGCTAGGGCATCACTATTTGCTTTGTGTCTCCTCTTTTTTTTTCCCATGAACACAGCCAGGTACCCGAGGATGGAGTTGGTGGTATCCTTTCACCCTGTTCATGGTGTCCTTCCTGTGCCAGACACTGCTGCGTGGGGTTGGGGTAGGGGGCTGTGTTCCAGCTGCACGGGTGGAGCTGAGACTGAAGCCCTGGAAGTAGTGGGCTGTGTGTGCCAAGTGTCTGAGGCAGGAGGCTGAGGACAGCCCTGCAGGGGCTCAGTCCTCGTGAGCTGGGTACCAATGGGCATGTGGGACAGAGGAAGCCCGGGGGAGACCATGTCCCAAAAGGTGGCAGTGGCAGAGCCGAGGCTGGTTTGGGGAGTGAGGCACTGTGTTGCATGCCAGTGAGCAGGAGCTGTGTGCTGGGTGTAGGGCTGAGTGCTGGGCATCTGGTCTCGGGAATGGTGGAATCCCTCGCTTGTGGCGGGCGGAGGGGACACAGCTTGAGTCAGGAGGTGAGAAGAGGAGAGGCCACTGCTTCATGAGGGATGGAAGTGGGGCAGATACATGATCAGGAGTTTGGGGGAATGTGGCGGTAAGGGGAAGGGTTGGAAGGCTTCCTGTAAGAGAGCTTCTGGTGGGAGCACCTCCACTGCTGTTGTGGGGTGAGCCAGGTAATGTTGGGTGTGGGAGGGTACTCAAGAGACCAGCATGCACGGAGCCCCGGAGAAAGGGTGCCGTTGGGGGGGGGGACTTAGGTAGCACCTTATAATGAGACAAGGGATGGAGTTTGAGATCTGAGATTAGCCTAAGGAAGGGGGTGATGATAGTGACTATACCCTGAAAAGAGAGACTTTAATCCTTCCAAGTGCTCATGGAATACTTGGGAAAACTTACCGTATGATAGAAAAACTTCAAATTTGAAAGAGTTAAATGTTTTGATTGTGATATAAAATAAAAATAATCCAAAACTTCTACTTAGAAATTAAAGTTTAAAAAACAACGATAATAATCCTTTCTTTTAGCTCCAGGGTTAAAGAATTGCAGGAATTCTTAGAAAAACAAAAACCAAAACCCAACACACTAGAACTGATGGTTCTCAGCTAAAGCAATGCTCAGGGAAAATGTGTAGACTTAAATACTTCTATCAATAAAAATAGAAAATTAAGCATTTCAATCCAAATTAGGAAAAAGTAAAGCAGGAGGGAATTAATGAAGTTAAAGACAGGAATTAATGAATTAGAAAACCACTCAAACTCAAGTGGTTTTCTTAAGCAATTTTTCCCATTAAGAATGAAGAAAAATGAGAATATATTTGTATTATGTATAGAGCAAACTGCTAAGATATACAAACTAATGACAGTAATGAACTGGGGATGGGGAGGCAGGACATCAGAAGGGGGATGGAGTGGGAGACTTATTATACATCTCAACATTTTTTGACTTTTGAACCAGATGAATATATTCTGTTCAAAACTGTTTAATATCTTAAGGGTTTTTAAAAGGAAGGATGAAGAACTGTAGAGGCAGGTATGACAGTGACGGGGAAAAGGGTGTGCTCTGGCCAGTGGGAAAATGCTGGACTCAAACTTGGGGGTGGGTGCGCCGGCCCAAGGCAGAAAGAACAAGGTGGCTTGCTGCTGGGGAGTGGAGTTCAACAGCGGGTGATGGGCTAGTGGGTCTCTAAAGCTAGGTTGAAGGGTAGGTACTCCATCTCTTGGGTAAGGGGTGTTGAAGACACGGAGTGGTATGCGACTCCATGGAAAGGGTAGGTTCTACAAAGATAGATGCATCCAGGTGAGCTTGAGCAGGACGAGAAGTGGAGGGCACTCTTTAGGAAGTCATGAGGTCCCTGTGCTTCCACATCAGCTAGTGCAGGTCTGGACCCCTCCTGGGGAGGGAAGGAGTAGGCAGAGAAGGCACCAAGGAGGTGGGGACCAGGGACTGGTACTGGGTAGGGGGTACATCTGGCTATAGTTTTGGATCCTTCAGCTCATATAGGTTACAAGTCGCTGGAAGGCCCCTATCACCCGACCCCTCACTCCCCCACCCTCTTTCCCATTACCAAGTTTTGTGGTTGCTCCCCCCCGCCCCAACACCCCCAGGCTTTGAAATCAACTTCATCAAATCTCGGAGCAGCAACATGCTGATGCCCTATGACTACTCATCAGTGATGCACTATGGGAGGTGAGGACCCCCTTTCCTTTCTCCCTTCTTCGTGGCCCCTCCAGCCCCCACTGTGATCTGGACTCAGGTCCCCACCTGCTGGGTTTCAGGTTTGCCTTCAGCCGCCGTGGGCTGCCCACCATCACACCGATCTGGGCTCCCAACGTTCACATTGGCCAGCGATGGAACCTGAGCACCTCGGACATCACACGGGTCCTCAGGCTCTATGACTGCAGCCCAAGTGGCCAAGGCCCCCGTGGGGGAGGTGAGTGACAAGGGGCAGAGTGATCTGAGGAATCTGGAGCAGGTTCCTATGTTGAGGGTGGTGTCCATGAGGGTGAAGTGGTAGGACTGAGGTCGCAGAGGTGAGTGGGGTGAAATCATCAGGGGCTTACCACATGAGATGTAGAAAAAGCATTTGAAAATTCTCACTTAGGATTGAAAACTGTTAGTAAACAGGAAGAGAGGTCACTCTCTTAACCTTAACATGGGTATCTACCAAAAACCCAGAGCAAAAATCATGTTTACTGTCAAAGCACTAAAATTGGGACCAAAACATGTTTTTCCACTATTGTCTCATCTGTTCAATGCTGTAGTGAAGATCTTAGCCATTGCAGTACAGCAAGAGAAATAATGAAAACTCTGAGGACTGGGAAGGAGGCAAAAAACTGTCACTACTCATAGATGATTATCTACATTGAAAGCAACAAAACCTATTAAATTACTGGAAGTAATTAGAATTTTATCTTATTCTCTAAAGATTTATTTTGGGGAGGAGGGGCAGAAGAAGGGGAGAGAATCTCAGGGGGACTTCCCCCTGAGCCTGATGTGGGGCTCAATACCATGACCCTGAGATCATGACCTGAGCCGAAACCAAGAATGGGATGCTCAATTGACTGAGCCACCTAGGTGCCCCAGCAATAAGAATTTTAAGAGGTATAGAAATTTCTATATTGATCATATCAATAGTTGGAAAACATAATTTAAAACCCATTATAATAGCAATAATGTCCCAAGGAATCAATCTGACAGAAGTTCTATAAAAAGTCCTATGGAAAATTAACCTTTATTAAAATCATTAAAGATTCTTAAATACACAGAGACATGTATCCTGTTCATTAATAGGAAGACAATGTAAAAATGTCAATTCTGATCTAAAGATTCCATTAATTCCCACTAAAAATCCCAAGAAACTTTTTGGCAATCTTGACAAGGTGATTCTAAAACTTAAATAGAAATACAAGGGTTGGGACACCTGGGTGGCTCAGTTGGTTAAGCATCTGCCTTCGGCTCAGGTCATGATCCCAGAGTCTTGGGATCGAGCCCCACATTGGGCTCCTTGCTCAGCAGGGAGTCTGCTTCTCCCTCTGCCTGCTGCTTCCCCTGCTTGTGCTCGCTCTCTCTCTGACAAGTAAATAAAATCTTTAAAAAAAATTATTAAAAAGAAAACACAAAAGGCAAACAATAGCCAAAATACTCTTGAAGAAAAATGGTGGGACTTGCCCTAGCAGATATCAAGATATACAGTTATATACATACATTTCTTTTTTTTTTTTTAATTTTATTTATTTGACAGAGAGAGACATAGTGAGAGCAGGAACACAAGCAGTGGGAGTGGGAGAGGGAGGAGCAGGCTTCCCGCGGAGCAGGCAGCACAATGTGGGACTCGATCCCAGGACCCTGGGATCATGACCTGAGCTGAAGGCAGATGCTTAACAACTGAGCCACCCAGGTGCCCCATATACACATACATTTCATGTATGTATATAAAATGTCTAAATGCATAGAACTAGTGCAAGGATAGACAATTGCCCATTGAAACAGAATGGAGAGTCCATAAATGATTCTACTCAGAAGTGGAGCCTTGATAAAGGGGCATTGCTGATCATTAGGGAAAGAATAGACTAGTCATTAAATGGCTCTAAGATGACTAGTTATCTATTAAAAAAAATTCCCATCTCATGCACAAATACATCTCAGATATATACAAGACTTACATATAAATAGAAAAAGCTTTAGGAAAAAGTGAAACCCTTCATGACCTTGGGATAAGGACTTTAATAAGACACAAAGCAAACCATAAAACTGGAAAGATTCACAAATCCAACTACATTAATAACTTATGTAATTATTATAGTATAACTAATCAAAAGACGAAGTGAAAATACAAATTACAGATCAGAAGAGAACTTTTGTAACACATAACTAATTGTACCTAAAATACATAATATATACTTAATGTATATAATATACATAATAAGAAAAAGCTGGAAGTACAAAGTAGATAAAACAGGCAAGAGACCTAACAAGCATCTCACAGGAGAAACCAAATGAGAAGTAAACACAAGACATTCAACCTCCTTCACTTGTATGTGAGTGCCCCTGACCCCAGCTCTAGATGACTGCCGATCTACATTCGGTCTCTCTAGGTTTGCCTGTTCTGGAAATTTCATGTAAATGGAATCCTACAATACATGATCTTTTGTGACTGGCTTCTTTTACTTAGCATAATATTTTCAGGGCTCATCCATTTTGTATCATGTATGAGTCCTTCATTCTTTTATTGTCAAATGACTCTCCATTGTATGGATATACAACATTTTGTTCCTTCATCAGTTGAAAGATATTTGGGTTCTTTCTACTTTTTGGCTATTATGATTAATGCTACTATGGATGTTTGTATACAAGATTTTACACGAATGCGTGTCTTTTCCTTTGGATATATACTTAGGAATAGATTCCTGGGTTCTATGGTAACTCCAGATTTAAATGCTATGTTTTCCAAATTGGCTGCATTTTTCACTCCCACTAGCAGTGTATGAGGGTTCAAATTTCTCCATGTCCTTGCCAACACTTGCTATTATCTACTCTTCAGATTATATCCATCCTAAGTGGGTATGAAGTGGTATCTCATTGTCGTTTTGATTTGCATTTCCCTAATGATCTCTTTATATGCTTATTGGTCATCTGTATATCCTCTTTGAGAAATGTGTTTAAATCCTTTTGCCGGTTTTTCATTTGGGTTGTCTTTCTATTGCTGAGTTGTAAGAGTTCTTTGTGTATTCTAGATACATGTCCCTTATCATACTCGTCATTTGGAAGTATTTTCTCACATTCTCTAGGTTGATGGTGTCCTTTGAATACATTTTTAATTTCGATGGGGGTCTAACTTCTCTATCCTTTAACTGTGCTTTTGGTGTCCTATCTAAGTAGCCTTTGCCTAATCCAAGGTCATGAAGATTTAATCCTAAGCCTTTTGCATGTGACTATCCAGTTCTAGCACCATTTCTTAGGCTATTCTTTCCCATACATAATATCAAATATTACATGCTCTTTTTTTTTTTTTTAAGTTAAATAGATGATGTGGCAAGAGCTTTGTGGGTATTCTAGAGGTTGGACTACTATGAGGAATGGAACTGGGAGGTGGCTGGAAGGGGCTGGGGGTCAAGAGGAGGTTAATCATGATGGTAGACATTCAAGCATGTTCGGGTGCTGAAATGACCCAATGGAGAAGGAAAAAAGGGTGGATTTAGAGGGCAGAGGGAAGAATATCTAGAACATTTGGGTAGGTGCTGCCCTTGGTGGATAGGTTTCCGAGAATGTCTGAGATTCCTTGGACCTAATAAGGAAGACAGGAGCAGACCTAACTTTGCATGTGGATCTTGATGTGTAGATGCATGGGCTTCTGAGGGCTTTGGTCACAAAGCATGACATGGGGTCACTAGCCGGGGGGTTGGGAAGAAGGGGATGAATGTTCAGGGAGAGGTGTGACGCTGCTGACTAGGTGGCAGAAGAACCTGCTGGAGACACCCCATAGGGCGGTGGGTGGTGCTGGGGCAGCTGGTGGCCAGGTGGAGGCGCAGCGTAGGTTGGCAACTCGGTTCTCCAGGACTGGGATTTTGTGGGCGGATGTGACAGAGGGGAAGGTGCTTGAGGAGTACTTGCAGTGAGGGCTGTAGAGCCCAAGTCGGGTGCGGAGAGTGGTCTGGAAGCGGGGAGGTGGTAGAGCAGGAAGACCTTGGGGTCCATGTGCTCGGTGGAGCTGAAGAATTGTGATATTTAAACAAGTGAGCTTCGAAGTAGAGGAGTGGGCGGCCAGGAACGGAGACTTCTGCAGTGGTGGTTTCTGGTACTGCCCAGGTCTGGGGGAGCGAGCTGTGAGGTCAATGCGACCAGGAGGGAGAAGAGTCGCTGGCTGAAGATCAGCCCTGATATGGTCAGTGTCTGTTGATGGAAGATTGGGCTCATTGTGAAGCGTTTGGTGCATGGGCAGGTGTGGCGGGTGAGAGGCAGCACGAGGGGGTGGAGGGGCCTGGCCGGATATAACTTGGGCTTAAGATGTGTTTTATAAAACTCTGGGGCCATGGTCCAGGAGTGGCCGTGAAGAGCAAGGAGGCCCCGTCCTGCTGAGTGCATGTGCCTGACTGTGATGGAGGTGGTTACAAGTGCAGGAGAAATTCTGCAGGAGACCTCAAATGTGGGGTGAGAGGCAGGGGGTCGCCCAGTACGGAGGGCCCCAGGAGGTGGCGGGACAGTGGGGGCTGCCGTGCTATCAGCCTTCGGCTGTCCGGTGAGTTGACCGTCCGCAGCTTGGGCTCGGGGTGGAAGGTCATGGAAGATCCCTGTGGCCTGACCTGCTGGTGGTGACCAACGAGACCGGGAGGGGAGGGGAGGGGAGGGGATGGGATGGTTCTGTGGTCCTTGTTTTTCAGTGGGAGCTGAGGATTTGGGTCTTGAAGGTGTTGAGCAGTGGCTGAGCAGGGGTATGGCAGGCTGTCTTCAACGAGGTGGGGATAAGACTGAAAATGGCCCCGGCCCTCTACAGCGGGGCGTGCATCTTCCCTCTGGGATTCTGGGACGTAACCTCTTATCTTTCCTGCTTCAGGGTTCCAGCCCCACAGCGATGGTAGGAGCCCTACTCCTGCCTCTAGACCATACCTGCAGCGGCTTCTGAAGGTGTTGTTGGCAGAATCTGGGAGCCCCGACACCGGTGCCCCCAAGGCTGGAGCCCTGCATGCTGCTGCAGGGCCCGGAGAGAGCCCACGTAGCTGGGAGCGCCCTGCACCAAGGAAGTTCCCTATGCGGGCATCTGCAGGGCTGCTTCAGACCCCAGCTTCCTCCCCGAACTCCAGGCCTGGAGCAGGTGTTCCTGGTATTGCTCTAGAGACGTCCTGGCTGGCCCGTGCGCCCTCTGGACCCCCAACCGCGGCTCCAGCAGCAGAAGACCAGCTAGTGCCTATCCAGGATGCTTTGGGGACCCCAGATCTGCCGGGAACACATGTACCTGAAAGTCCTTTCAAGGGGATGCCAGGAGGTCGAGGCTGTGGCTTCTGTCCCCAAGGGGGAAGGGCATCCTCAGTCTCGAAGAGCTGGGTTGTGTAACCCCTGGCCTTCCCGGCCAGTACCTACTCTTCCAGCCCCAAGATGGCTCCCCTGTCTGAGGCCTAGGACTCTCCCTCTGCCCCTTCCTTCCCCATATGTTCTCCTGAGGGTTCCTGGGGACAAAGGGGACTCCTAGGTCTGGCGGCGGGGGGGGAGGCAGGCCTAGAGGCTGCTGGGAAGGGGAGACGATACTCTCCAGGGCTCTGGAACCCCAGGGGTCTGGAGAGGTGGGGCAGAGGCAGGTTCCAGCCCTGAAAGCCCCTGGGCATCCTCCCAGGGGTGAGTCCCAGCCCCCCAGCATGCTCAGGTACTGCCACCTCTCTCAGGCCAGGACTTGGGGAGCCCGTGGCTGGGACCCTGAGGCCGGCCTCCCATCCCTGGTGTTTGGTGTTAGGAATATTACCCTGCAGCTGCAGCCTCCAGCTCCGCTCCCCAGGGGTTTTTCAGCTTGCTCCCCTGCAGGGCAGCGGGGGGGGGGGCTTCAGCACCAGGAATGCTATCCCAGGGGTGCTGAGGAAGGGGTGGAGGCCTCCAGCACTGCACAGCGGGGAAACACAGCAAGAACAGGAGGCCCTGAACACATGACTCCAAGCTCTTCTCCACCCTGCTTTGCTATTCCCAGGAGCCTTCCCCTCTCTCTCCCCACCAGCCAGGGACTTGATCAGCGGAGGTCCTAGAAGATGGGAAGGGGCTGGGGAGGTGGGGAGGGGATGGTCAACCTGCTTTTCTTCCTTCAGCACAGCCCTATCCTTACCTCCTGGCTTGCTGTGTGAAGGCTTATAGGCCAGGAGCTCCCCCCCCAGTCCTGGAGAGGCACTATTCTGGTGGCCTGTTGGAAGCCCTGCTTGGAGTAGGAGGGAAGTAGGAGCCTGGGTCCAGGCCCCGTGGGGCCGAGCACCTCAGACGTTCTGGGGGACGGCACAAATAAAATTGGGTATTTGCTCCAGGAACCAGGTACTGGGCTATGCATGAGTGTGTTTAACCCTGCCGACTGATGCGGGAGGGGCCCTGGGGGGCTTACACCCTCTTCCCTGGGGCAGAGAGGGACTCGGCAGCAGAGGGGCACTGCTGAGGGAGCAGCCCCGCAGGGCTGAGGCTTGCCATGTTTCAGGGCTGGGGAGAGCTTGGCCTTTGCCTGCCTCCTGGACCCAGTCAGGGGACACGAGGGCAGGCTCCTGGGAGGCCGGAGCCTCTGCCCTGGGTCCATCTTGCATCTGGGATTTTCTCAGACTGAGCAGGGGCCTGGTCTCAGGTATTAGCATCAGGGAAGGATCATGGGTTGGGGAACACGGTCCCTCTGTTTGCCCCAGACAGGAGAGGACGATTGGCTGAGCGAGCTTAGAGTGAGTGAGGAGAGGCTCGGCCCCGTTTCTACGGGGAGGGGGGGGGGGCGGCGTTCCTCTGGGAGGTTCCCGAGCAAAGATCGAGAGCGTACATAGTACCCCCATTTATCAGAGAAAGGAGTGTGACCGCCTTACCACCTATGGGTCTCTTTAAGTAGTGGAGCCAGGCCTCTGGTGCTGGGTTGGGGCTTCTTAGTGATCACACGAAGTCAGGGGGGGGGAAGTGGTTTGTGCCCTGTGAGGCCGTCCCAGCTCTCAGAGGCTGCCTGTCATTAGCCTCCATTAGAATGTGGCTTTTAGATTCTCCAGAATTTGGGTTCTCCAGGTGGGGCTGGCCGAGCTCGGGGGCTCAAGGGGAAGAGTGCTTTCCCCCTCTTCTTTGGCGGGGGGTGACCAGGGCCGAGGCTGTCCTTGTCCTTACCCCGTGAGGCCCCCTATAACTACAGACCCCGTTTCCTAGGCTTATTCCACAAGCCCCACCCTGTCCCTGTGGTCCAGCCTTGGCTCAGCCCCTGAAGCCTTGGCATGGGGTGTGTGCTGTGGATGGGGCACTGGCTGTTAAGCAGCTGGTGGCTAGCCACCCATCCCAGGGTCCGTGGCCTATTCCCTAATCCCCAACCGTATAACTACGTGGCCTCACTCATCAATTTATTCACTCATTCAACAGAATCTGTTGAATTAGGTGCCAGGCTGGCTCGGCTATAGGAACTGGGAGTAACAAGGTGAGCAAGGCAGGGTTTCCTTTCTCGTGGAGTTTATTTGGGGGTAGATAAAGGATGGACAGTAAATAGGTAAAAGAAGTCATCAGGGATTTAGAAATGATGGGGGAGGAGGACATTCTTTTAGGATGCTGGCATTTCCACTGGGACCCGAATGATAGAGACTGCTCTGTGAAAAACCCAAGGAAACAGGCAGTGCAAAGGCCCTGAGGCAGGAGGGAGTTAAGGTGTGAGTGGAGGGATGAAGTGAGGTGGGGCGGTGCGGAGGTTGGCAGGGCAGGGGTTGAGAGGGATGGTTTTATTCCAAGAGCAACAGGGAGCAGCTGCTGGAGGATTCTAAGGAGGGGGAGTGATAAGATCTAAGCTTTTAAAAGTCATCCTGGATGCTCCGTGGAGAGTAGACTGGCAGGGAGGACAGGTGGAAGGCACTACAGTTGTGCAAGCCCGAGCGATGGGGCTGTGGAAGGGGCAGAGTGGATGCTTTTGGAGCATGCTTCGGCAGTTGAGGCAACTGCACTTGCTATTGGCTGCAGGGGCTTCCCATATAGCACAGAGACCTCAGGGGAGGTGAGGGAGTGTGTGGGCTGAATGAGCCTGGGGTTCAGGGCGGGAGACGGCCTTCGGGGAGTCCTCAGCATCTGGTTGGGAGCTAGGGGGCTGGATGAAATTACGAAGAGTTTGGGTTCCGAAGAAAAGGGACCCCAGGACTGAACAGGGGTGCTGCAACATTAGGGCAGCGTTATTAGTGTTTTGTGCCTCATAATTGTTTGTTGCGGGGCTGTCCTGTACTTTGTAAGATGTTTAGCAGCATCCTTGGCCTCTACCCACTAGACGGCAGTAGCAACCCCCTTCCTCCTGTTGTGACGGTCAAGAATGTCTCCAGCTGCCAGATTGCCAAATGTCCCTGGGGGAGAAGGGGCAAAAAACAAAAACAAACAAACAAAAACGCTCAGTGAGACTTGGTGATTGGGAGTTTGGGGGAGAAAAGGAGGCCGAGAAGAAGGGGTGACCTCGAACCTGCAGTGTTCTCAGGGAAGGGGGCAGTCTGTGGTCTAAAGTGTTGCTGAGAAATTAGGAGGACACGCTTGGTGGCATGGAGTCACGAATGACCCACCAGGAATAGATTCAGCGGAGGTCGGGGTACAGATACCCAACGGAGGGTTAAGGAGAGAGTGTGAAGGGTTAGAGACGGTGCAGTGACAGTTGGAGACAGCTGCAGGTGGCACAGGAGGCTTGGGGGCGGGGCTGGCCCTAGATCGGGGGAGGATTGCAGCAGCAGAGTCCTGTAGGATAGGAGAGGGCTTGCCCTCCCAGCAGAGCTGGAGCTCAGATGAGTGAGTTCGGGGTGAGTTCCTGCCTGAGGGCTTTCATCTTCTAAGAGGCAAAGTCATGGTTTGGAGTGGAGGAGGGTGTGTGGGTGAGGAGGATGAGCGGGACACCGATTCTGAAGTGGGGGGGAAGGTGAGCACACTAGGCAAGTCTGGAGATTTGTGGTTATGGCTTTAAAGCGAGGACAGTCGATGCAGTGAGTGTTTTGCTCCGGAAGGAGCAGCTGTTCTGCCAAAAGCTGGGTGGATGATTTAGGTCCGCCCAGGATTGGGGTTTTGTCAGGTGAGGTGTGATGGAGGAGGATGGGGCGGCGGACTTGCATTATGGAAGGCATGACTCAAGGGTGTGGGGAGGCTGGGGCCTACAGGGTGGTGTGAGGATAGGGTCCCAGGGATTTGAAAGGCTGGGGCTTCTGGGGAGAGCTGGGGGTGTGAAGCCCAGTTGGGCCTCATCCCCATGGAGCCCTGGCATGGGAGAATCTGGGGCCACTCTTGGCTCTCAGGTCTGGACAAGTGGCTCCAGGGCTTTCAACTAAGGGGGCATATCTCGTGCTGTGATCTCACAGCCAGGAATGGAACCACTGTCCCTGTGTCTTTGGAAAAGATGGTACTAGGTCACCTCCCCCCACCCCTTTCCAAGGTCATCCTTTGGGGACACCTTCATTTTAGGACACTACCTGAGAGAGGCTCATGTATGTCATCCACTGATGCCAGGCTGCCCCCCCCATCATTCAGCAATCTTGGCCAATATTGGGGACGGAGAAGGGATGTGTGCTCAAGGGGCGGGGGGAGTGATGCAGCAAACCCATCCGCCAGCATCTCAGTACATCTCCGAGTGCGAACATGGTACTGTGTACATGGCATCAAAGAACTTGGAAAGCAGGGTACCTCTTTCTCCCTGGAAGGGCGGTGGGTGAGAGGTGAACGGACCTTGGAGAGGGGGGGCCCACCAAGCACCTGGGAAGGACTGGAGATATGGGAGCTCAGGGCATGTCCAGGGATCAACAGGTAGCCTGGTGGGGCCAGGACGGCGGGCCAGTGGCATCACGGGCTTCCTCTCCTGCCGCAGGTGCCCTAAGGCACCTCCTGCTGCTGGTAGGTCCGGGTCTGGGTCTGGGATTGAATTCTGCCAGCCTGGTGGAATGCAGGGACAGTGGAAGGTCAGCTCTAGTCTGGGGACGGCTGATGCTATGGCCCGAGGCTCGGATTTATGCAGGGCTGGCTAGAGTGGGCAGCACTGGAGGGTGTATGTGGGGGTGGGGGACAGAGAGCTGCAGAGAGGAGTGGGAATCTACTTATGTGATGGCTTCTGCTGCCCCAAGAGCCAGCTGCACATCTGGGAGGCCGGGCTGGTAGGTGGCAGCAGGGGGCACAGACCCTGGGGTTGTGGCTGAGCCTCACAGGTGCCTGGAGGTTCTCCTGGCTGCCCCCATCTGGGCTTGGGCCCAGTAGGGCATGACACTTGGTAGATCCAGAGCTTGCTGCCCCTTCGGGGAAGGCCCAAGTGGAGGGAAGGGGCAGGGGGGAGAGAGTGAGCAGCCCTGGCCGCAGCTCCTTTGGGGTCCTGGTGCCTTTCAAGGAAAACTCGGGCCAGGAAACAAAGGGCTGGTGCTGATTGCAGTGTCTGGGGAGATAGCCCCTGGCCTCCCAGTGTGAGTATGGTTGGAGAGGTGAAAGAGTGGTCCCTCAGTCCTTCCTCAGGGAAGGGGCTATTGAGACTTCTCCATCTCTGGCAACCACAGGCCCAGGCTCAGCCCAGCCAGAGGGTGGGGGATGCATCCATAAAACCTGTCTCTGGAGGGGCTGTCCTGTCCCACCATCAGGCTATGGCGCTCAGACTTCACAAAGGCACTAAGGATGGCAGGAGGCAGGGACAGCCCTGGATCGAGGAACCCTTCCACCCCTGCTGTGTGAGCCTGGGTAGGGGTAAGTCATTGTGGGCACTGAGAGGTCATTCCCTGGTCCCATGAAGATGGAGCGGGCAGGCAGGAAGGTCCAGTATGCACACTGTCTCAAGGCCAGGCCTTTTGGAGGAGCCCTACTTTCAGGGGTGGCTTGATGCTTATTTATACAGAGGATGTCATGCAGAGCCACGGGCTATAAATACAAGGCCTGGCTCTAGGCTGGGGTTATAGTATCAGGGGCTCCAGGAGTGGGGAAAAAATGTGTTCTTGAGGCTGCCCAGGCTGACACTGGTGGCAGTGGCCACAGGGAGAGTGAGTAGGGCTGAGGGTGTCTGAGGCGGAGCCTATCGCTCTTGGAGTCTGGCATGGGGATGGGATGGGGTGGGGTGATTAATCTGAAATTTCTTACCCAGCTCCTTCTACAGCCTCTCCAAGAGGGGTGTGAAGCATGGATGTGGGGGGGGGGGCGGATTCAGCAGGAATGCCGTGTGTGTGTGTGTGTGTGTGTGAGAGAGAGAGAGAGAGAGACAGACAGACAGACAACATAGTCAAAGGGATGCTCCTTCCTGCCCAGTTGCCCCCGGAGACCTACTTTTTCTCTGAGCTGTGTTAAAAAGCTGAGATTGGAGTCCAAGCCAGTTTTCCTCTTACCTCTTTGCCCTTAGTGGAGGAAACCGAGGCATCTGCGGGGGAAACAGGACAGCTGAAGTCCTAAATCTTTGCGCTTGCCCCACCGGCCTTGGGAACGGCAGAGCGCCGCGAGGACGCGGGTCTCCCGGCTGGCCGCGGACTACCGACACGCGGGCGGCAGCAGGGGGCGCTCGCAACCTGGCCACCGCGCCTCCCAGGGCTCGGCAGGCCCGACGGAGTCTGGCCGGGGCAAGAAAGCACCTGGGGCAAGAGCTCCGGGCAGTCTCCCCGCTCCCCCCTACTCCTTCCACTCGGCTTCCTCTTCGAGCGCCGGGTAGGAGGTGTGGTTCATTACGCTGCGGTGCCGCAACACACCCACCCACCCTCTCCTTGGGGCTCATACACCGCGGGAAGAGAGATCAGCCGGAGCCCACCGTCCTAGGCCCCGGTGCTCGGGCCGGGTCTGCAGGAGAGAGGTCTCCCATCGGTCCCAGCTCCCCGCGCGCACCAACCCTTCTGCGCCTGCAAACGTCCTTCCCGGAGTCCCGAAGACCCCAGACACCGGTCTCTGCCCTCCCGTGGCGCGGAGGCCGGGAGGAAAAGGGGTAGGGGCGCCAGGGCGGAGGCCCGGGGCTGCGGGGAGGCTGCGGCCGGCGAGTCCTCCCGCCAGGCGCACCTTCCACCCGTCCTCTGTCCGCCCGCCCCACCTCCCTCCGCTCCTCCTGCTCCCGCCTCCAGTCTCCTCCCTCCTCCAGCGCGCTCGCTCTCCTCCCATTCCCCTGCCGCGGCCGGCTGCCTGCAGGCGCGGCTCGCGGCTAGAGCCAGCGAGCGGAACGGGCGCCTGGGCCTCTGCGCCGCCTCCCGCAACCGGTGGCGCGCCCCCCGCCCGGCCCGCCGAGCCCCGCGCCCCAGCGTGCGTCCAGCAGCCTCGGAGCGTGAGGGAGCAACTTCCCCCCGGTCCCGGGCGGGGCGGGGACGGCAGCGGGACAACTTGGAAAACTTCGGGGAGGACGGCAGGGGCGCCGGGGGCTGGTGGAAGAGGATGTAGGAGGGCAGTGGCTGGCCCCAGGCACCCCTCGATCTCCTAGGCCCCGTTCGGCCTGGCCATGGGGCTCCAGCGCCTTCTGCGCCGCCAGGGGGTCGATCCTCCCGTCTAGCCTAGCAGGGTGGGACAGTGCTGTCGCCGGCTGAGCAGGCGCTGGGAGAGCAGCGACCCCTCTGGCCGCGTCCCACTCCGCCATGGACCACCAGGAGCCCTACTCGGTGCAGGCCACCGCGGCCATCGCGGCGGTCATCACGTTCCTCATCCTCTTCACCATCTTCGGCAACGCGCTGGTCATCTTGGCCGTGCTGACGAGCCGCTCGCTGCGCGCCCCGCAGAACCTGTTCCTGGTGTCGCTGGCCGCTGCCGACATCTTGGTGGCCACGCTCATCATCCCTTTCTCGCTGGCCAACGAGCTGCTGGGCTACTGGTACTTCCGGCGCACGTGGTGCGAGGTGTACTTGGCGCTCGACGTGCTCTTCTGTACCTCGTCCATCGTGCACCTGTGCGCCATCAGCCTGGACCGCTACTGGGCTGTGAGTCGCGCGCTCGAGTACAACTCCAAGCGCACCCCGCGCCGCATCAAGTGCATCATCCTCACCGTGTGGCTCATCGCAGCCGTGATCTCCCTGCCGCCGCTCATCTACAAGGGCGACCAGGGGCCCCAGCCCCGCGGGCGCCCCCAGTGCAAACTCAACCAAGAGGCCTGGTACATCTTGGCCTCTAGCATCGGGTCCTTCTTTGCACCCTGCCTCATCATGATCCTTGTCTACCTGCGCATCTACCTGATCGCCAAACGCAGCCACCGCAGAGGTCCCAGGGCCAAGGGGGGCCCTGGCGCGGGTGAGTCTAAGCAGCCCCGCTCAGTCCCTTCGGGAACTTCAACCAAACTGCCAACCTTGGCCTCTCCGGCTGCTTCTGAGGAGGCCAACGGACACTCTAAGCCTACGGGGGAGAAGGAGGAGGGGGATACCCCTGAAGATCCTGGGACCCCTGCCTTGCCACCCAGCTGGTCAGCCCTTCCCAACTCAGGCCAGAGTCAGAAGGAAGGTGCGAGTGGGGCATCTCCAGAGGAGGAAGCTGAAGAGGAGGAGGAGGAAGAGTGTGAGCCTCAGGCCTTACCAGCGCCTCCTGCCGCAGCCTGCAGCCCACCCGTGCAGCAGCCACAGGGTTCCCGGGTGCTGGCAACCCTACGGGGCCAGGTGCTCCTGGGCAGGGGTGTGGGCACCGCGAGTGGGCAGTGGTGGCGGCGGCGGGCTCAGCTGACTCGGGAGAAGCGGTTCACCTTCGTGCTGGCCGTGGTCATTGGCGTTTTTGTGCTCTGCTGGTTCCCCTTCTTCTTCAGCTACAGCCTGGGAGCCATCTGCCCACAGCACTGCAAGGTGCCCCACGGCCTCTTTCAGTTCTTCTTCTGGATTGGCTACTGTAACAGCTCGCTGAACCCCGTCATCTATACCATCTTCAACCAGGACTTTCGCCGTGCCTTCCGAAGGATCCTTTGCCGCCAGTGGACCCAGACGGCATGGTGAGCCACCTGCCCGCCGCCCATGTGGGGTTGGTGCTAGGTGGCACCAGGGCCACCCCGATTCCTGCCCTGCTTTCTGTGGCCACCTCCCTGGGGCTTTCTGGTTCCTGCCTGGGGCCTGCCGGCCTCCCCTTGGGAGCCCCCCTGGAGGGGTAGGGGCAGGGGTGCTGTTCACTGGGGGTCCATTTGAAGCCTCCAAAGCCAGCCGGGATAGAGCCCTTCCCTCCCAGGACCCCAGACCCCAGCAAGCCAATGGGTGGGCTTTCCTTCAGGACTCTGTGTTCCCTGGCCGGTCACTTGTTTGTGGTGGTTTGTTTCTCATCTTCCCTGGATTTAGAGCGGGAAGCCAGCCTTCCATTTTTCCCCGGAGCACCTGCCACTGAGGAGGAGGCGGAACTGAGGGACCCACGCTGGATGCCCGGGGTCCCCATCTGGCGCTGGGTGGGGGGGTTATGGTCTGACGCTGCTTCTGGGGCCTTCTCCCCTTTCTACCTACGTTTTGGGGGATCTGTAGCTCCTTTAAAAGCCAGAACGTTTTCTGGAATCATTTTCCTTACTCGGCACCCCTCTGGGAGGTGGGTGTGTGCCAGTGGACGCCTCGCCTTGGTGGGGTGGTCTGGAGGCCTGGCCTCTGCCTGACGGGAGATCCCTGATCACTAGCATTCACCCCCTGCAAAAACCCCGGGGACTTGCTGCTGGGAGATGAGAGGCTTTGCAGAAAGCTTTGAGCTCCATGGGGGAACACACTAGAGAACCAGAAAATGTGATTGTTTGGTGATATAAAAATCCCCTTTCTTTGTGTTTACCACCACCTGTCTTCCTGTAGACTTTTGTTCTGTGCCTGGGGTGTGTGAATTCTTACCCCAAACTGGACGTGGGGAATGGTAGAGAGAGCCACTCTTTCAGTCAAAGGATTTCTTCGAGAACGTGTTCTTGCGCCTGCAAGGGTTTAGTTACTATGCTGCATGACAACTTCTTGACATTTCACCCACAACACCAATGGGGTTTTCAGGGGCTTGGGCCCCCCAGTGGGGGAAAAGTCTTTTGTCATCGAGCAGGTTAATTGTTTTCCCAAGATGGCTAAAAATACCCACACCATGGGAGCAGTCTGGGATGAGAGCCTGGGGTGGGTGACAGAAACCCCAGGTAGGGTGCTGCAGCCAGAACAGGTGAGTGAGGGCCCTGTGGACTCCTGCAGGAGCCTCCCACCAGAGCGCCCAGGCAGGTCTCCAAGTCCCCAGCGGGTCCCTGTGATGTATAAGCGACCCTACCCCAGATGGGGTGGGGGCCGGCTGGCCATCTCTGCCCCAGCCACATTGCTCCATCCCACTGATGGGGCTCCAGGGGCCTCTCCCTCCTGGTCGTCTCCCCATCCCCAGGACCTGGCACCCAGAACCCTTGGGAGCATATGAAGGACGTTTCCCATTCTTCTCCAAGGAGCGCCAGTCAGTGGGCAGCTAGCGTGGGACTGGGGCTGAGCAGCCCAGGCACTGTCGGCACTCTGATGGGCCTGGCCAGATCTGGAGAGGTGCTGAGAGAGTTTTCTGGGGTGGAGAGAATGGAGGGGACCAAAGAGAGTCCCTCCTGGGGAGAGGGGCTGTCTAGCTCCTTCCTCAGTCTCAGGGTGAGGCCCGGGCACAGCCTTGGGGTGAGGCTGTGGAGGCTGGGCCTGGGGGAGTGGCTGACTTGTGACATCTGCTGACTGGTCTTGTGTGTGTCCCGTGGGACTCCTGCTATTGTGGTTGCCTGTGGGCCCCTTGTTGTGATATGCAGGTGTTTTTGTCGTTGTTGTTTTTTTAAAGTCTGAGCTATTTTATCAATAAAAGACATTTTGTAATAAACGAGCTGTGTCCTTGTTGCCCAAAGGCTGCCAGGAGTAATTATTTCTCAGCTACTCGGATAGTATCTCTAAGCATGGGCTCCCTCCCGGGGCCAGTTGCCCTTTCCTGCCCTAGGCATGGCTGCCCAGTACCTACCCACCTGCACACCTGCTTTGTCCACTCAGCATCCCTTATCATTGCAAGCCAATGGGAAGAGAATGGCCAGAGAAGCCTGAGATTGGCCACCTGGCAAGGAAAGAGAAGGAGGGCTTCCCAGAGGAGGGGGCCTTGGGGCTGCGTCTTGGGGGAAGGGCCAGAGTATACCAAGAAGCAAGATAAGAAAGGTGTTTCAGGCAGGGGACAGCATGGGCAAAGGGTGCGTTTGGTGGATTTGTGACAGTTGGAGAGTCAGCCTTGTGGTCAGGTGCAGCAGCTGAGGGCCAGAGGAGGTCGTTGGACAGCACCCCCAAGGGGGGCAGGAGGACGGTAACTCTGCAGAGTGTTTTCAGCGGCTGCCTTCGGGGAGGGCAGGAGAGTGGACCAGAATGCTCTGCTTTGGGCTCTCCCACACTGAGATTCAGTCACGAACACCAGAGTTGGAAGACCTGTGGATGTCGCTCCTATCAATCTCATTTCCCAGATGAGGCCTCCAAGGCATCCGGTCCTGCCTCAGTGAGGGTAGCCTCTGGGGCCTGAGCCAGTGTGGCCTGGTTCGGAGGGCAGGGGAGGCCCCAGGGAGGGGTGAGGCCTGGGAGGGAAGGGCAGAGGGAGGAGCGGTGAGGTCCCAGGGTCGGGTGGTGGGAGGCCATCTACCATATCCAGGATTCACATTGCCCCGGGCCGGGCTGCGGCTTCCGCCATGGGCAACCAATGGAGACGGCTGGGACATGCAGCTTCACGGAGGACTTGGTGAGAGAGCGACACCCTGCCCTGAGGAGCTCCCGGCAATTTCTACCAGCCTGGCTTTCCAATGCCAAGGTCCTGAGGCCTGATGAGGGTAGATTAAAGTAGCTCATTTGTTCCTGTTCACTGAACCGATCACTTTTCTGGCACTTCGTCTGATTACTTTGTTTAATCCTCGTGCCCACTGTGTAAAAGAAGTATCAGCCCATTTTATCCAGGGGAAACTGAGGCTCAGAAAGGTGTACTGACTTGCTAGAGGTGCCCCAGGCCCACACTCTTTCTACGGGACGAGACGGGACGGGACGCACTGTGTTGCCCGAGGGTCTGTGAGGGGCGGGCCCACGGGCCTGGGGAAAGGGCTCCCTGCCCAGCCTCTAGAGACAGTGACAGAGTTACGGCGGCTGAGTACCCATAGTGAATACGTTATCTTACTTAATCCTCACCATCTTGCTAGGTGTGGACATTTTGCCAAAGCGGAAACGGAGGCTCAGGGTCACCCAGCTGGGTCCCTGAATCGCAAAGCTCCAAAATTCAGGTGTAGAGGAATTGTGCTTCTGTCTCTCGCTCCAGCTCTCGTTCGGGGGTGCTGGCCAGTGGGGGACCCCGAAACTGCACCTGGCTGGGCTCAGTAGGCGGCGGTGCGGTGACAGACCAATCATGTCTGTCACTGCCACAGAATATGTAAGTGATGGTCTGGGCTCCACAGGTTTTCCATGCCTGACAGCTCAGTCCAAACCCCAAAGTTTATTAAAGAAGTG